CTCCACCCTGCGGAATGCCTCAAGCCCGCCCGCTCCAGCAGCTGGAGAGCCGGCAGCTCGGTGTTAGGAGGATTAAAGCGATTCCCCCCGTGTCTGTGGCTGGTCCGCCTACAGACTGCCCTTTGACGGGTCCTGCCTGCTCGCCCTGCGCCGCAGGGAGCGCCAGGTGGGCGCTGCTGGGCTGCCCCGCCGCCCGCTGAAGGGAGCCCAGGAGAAGGAGAGCGCGGTGCAGCCCCCCAGCCCCGCAGGGAGCCCAAGAAGCATCTCTCCTTTCCTCGGCAATCCTGCTCCTGCGTGTCCACCAGATGTCAGGAACACTCAGGAAATGGGAAGAGCACATCTCCCGCTCGGCTCCCGCCCGGGGGTTTCCCTGGGGCACTTCCCAGCCTCCGTGTCCCCAGCCCCTGCTGACCCCCAGCCCCTCTGATGTCCCCCCCCAGGGAACCCCAAGCCGGGACCCCACTCACACAGCAGGATGAGGGCGATGAGCAGCACGATGAGGACGGAGACGCAGAAGATGAGCGCAAGCCGCCGCTGGCTCATGCAGGGAGCTCTGAACATGGAGGATCCTGGCAGCGGGGTGGAGGCAGAGTCAGGGGGAGCGGCTGCCTTCCCCGGGGGGCCCGGACCCTGCTGCCCACCGGCACACGCCAACAGCTCCGTGGCTCCCCGGAGGACCCACAAGATGGGGGGGAGCTGAGCCGTGCTCAGCCTGCATCTCCCGGTGGCATCCCCCCATCCTGCCACGGCCACCGTCCTCTCCCTCGCCCCCAGCACCGCTCACACCCCCGGGGAAAGACCAGCCTGCGGCTGAGGCTTGTGCCAGCAGCGGAGGGACATTCCCTGCCTTCCTCCATCCCTCCCCACCCCAGGTGGGACCGGGGCCAGGGCGGCCAGAGACCGCCCTCGGCACCATCCTCTTACGTGTGCTCTCACAGGTCGTGCAGGGGGCCGGGGCTGGGCTGGACTCCGGGCTGCAGGGCTTGAAGCTAATGCCGAGGACGCTTTCTCGAGGCTGCGGAGGTCGGGCACCGAAGATGCTGCTGACTATGGAGGCATGGAGGCTGGGAGGGACACTGCTGGGCGATGCCGTGGTCTGCGAGCAGATGACCGTTAGTGGCAATGACCGTTGCCCACCGGAGACCCCCCGCAGGTGCCACCCCCACCGCTCAGGCGGCCGTGAAGGCAGAGGCGACGTGGAGCCGAGCTCCCCAGCACGGCACCCAGCTTGCCGGCATGGCCAGCCATCGCCGCCGGTGGCTATTCCTCCGCAGTACCGCGGACTGCATGGAGAGCTACCGCTGCAGCGCCTCTCTCTGTACCGCAAAGCTCGAGCCGTGCCCCATCTGGGAGGGCTGAAAACCTCTTTGTTGCAGAGATTTTCCCCTTTGGGTGGCTGCCGGCCAAATTTCCCAAACTCCAATCGGAGCAATCAGCTGGGTGTTTGGCATCGGGTCAGTCACGCTGTGGCCCAGTTCCACAGGGCTAGTGCCCCAATTTATGCATCTATCCTTAATTAGCCATTTGAAAAATACAGTGCAATTTCCAGCTGTTATTTAGTAATACTTAATAATCAGTGTTTTCCAAGCCCTGAAACGTCCTGCACCCTGGAATGCTGTTCTGCAGTTATGTCACTCCTGATCCATGAATTTGCAAAAGAATATGTATTTGTTTCCTTTCCTCAAG